TTATTAAATAAGGATAGATGGATGTGCCTATTGTTCGGTTCGATTAAGAATCTTTTTCTTTCCATCACTTTTGGTTTTTAGATATTCCACACTGTGGTAATGGAAGATCTGCCAGCAATGGTGAAATGTTGGCTCTTACAATATTTAACCATTCATGGTAAATCTTCTAAAACAAACTGATGGAAAGAAAAAGAAAAAGACTCTAAATGAATTCGGCTTGATATAAAAAAAAATCTAAAAAGAAAAAAAAAATTCTAAAATTTCCGTCACCCCTCTGTCGTGCGCATGTGTAATCCGACCAGCATAACAAATTTAATCCGATGAAGTCCAGAAGGATGAAACATGTCACAAGTAAACTTTTTCCACGTTTTCATACAATTTTCCCAAAATATTCTTCCTAAACAAAGATGCGAGGCTAATTTTACACTGTCAACTCAATACCAGGCACTAATATCAGAAAACAGTTAGATTCTTTAAAGTTCGTTCCAATACAAACATAATTTTCCATATCGCTAACTCTAGTTCAATTTCGGTTCAATACAGAGTTTATAAGAATTACCAAATAGCTTTCCTCTTGTGAAAATTTTGGCGCCAGGTCAACTAAATATAAACGTACACAAAAGTCTCCTGTACAGCGAGGCGTAAAGAATTGAGAAATAGAAATAACGATGCAACTCGTAGAGCATTAATATCTTCATGTGTCACTCTTTATTTTTGAGATCTCCTTTATCTTTCGGTGTGGATTAAATATTAGGAAAGTAAAGAATTTGACAGCGCTTCCCGAGGCGTAAAATAATTATCACGAACAAAACAAGAAATTCTTCTAACAGGAAGTGATGATGTCTATGACAATAGCTCTTGTGTTTTGAGCTTACGATTTCTTGTTAAGGAAGGTGCTAAAATGTCAACATCAGTTTCTGATGCTTGGATTCTTGTCCCAGGTAATAATACGTACGATGTAAAAGGAATGGAATTTGTCACCTTTGTGCTTGTTCAACTGAACTAGAAACAGTCTAACACCGGCTGGCAAGATGAACGAATGGTCATCTGGTCATCTTTAATAAGAAGCGCTATAGTGATGGCAACGGGAAAAGGTGGGTGGTCATGGGATAAATACTGAATCTATTAATGCTGAAAATCAGGCTCGATAGCAAAATGCTTTTCAAAAGACAGCTCATTTTTATTTTTTTATCTCGCATTGAGATGACTGTTCAACTCGACGTTCAATTCTTGAGCCGTGTCAAGATCGGATTGAATACGATTTGAGACGAAGATAACCCTGGGATTAAAATTTGACATGAAACGCAGAGATTTCCACTTTTTTTTATATTTTGAGATACTTTAAAGAAATATACAAACTAATCAGTTCGAATAGGTAATATAATAAAAATATGGAAATAATAAAACTGAATTAGGGAGACAAAATTGTTTAGACGTCTCCCATCAATGTTTGCTTAGAAGATTGAATACTAAGTGTTTATTAATAGGAAAATGTTACAGCCTTGTTTTTCTTGCATGACAGACATCTTATAGTGAAAAACGGCCACGAAATTATTAACTACTAACGTAATAGAGCACTGGATTATATACAGTGAGCTATGATAAGCTTTAAGCCACCCTCATTTACAGTAATTTTGGCTTCCGTAATAACGTCTCTTCTTTTTCTTTTTCAGACAATACCGTGTTAGTATCAAGCTGCTCTAATCTATAAACGATAGCTGACTTATATTTTGCAATGAAAGCTCGTGAACTCGCAAATAATAGGATGGCATCAGTGTGGCAAGTTGAATAGAGAAATTTCTAGGTTTTTCCAGGTTAATCATCAAACGGTTAATAATATTGCCAAGAAATTTAATGACGAAGGCCATTGTCGTGTGGAACAACGTTCAGGAAGGCCAAGCATCGTGTCTGAGCGAACAAAAAGGGCACTGAAGATGGAAGTCATCTGAAACCGTCGTCAGAGATATCGCCAACAGGATGGAAATGTCGATATATAGAGTAAGAAATACTCTGAAAGAGCTAGGCTATCAAAGAAGAGTTTCAAGAAAGAATCCTTTGATTTCAGAGGTTAATAGGAACCCTCGTATGGATTGGGTGGGAGGATTCCAGAGCGAAGATTATGAATTTTGGCAGTCTATAATTTGGTCAGATCAAAGTAAATTCTGCCAATATTCGAATTCGAGATAGGTCTATGTCTGGAGAAATCAGAATGAGACTTGGAATACTAAATGTCTGCAGGCGACCGTGAAAAATGGAAGAATTGGACTAATGGTGTAATGCGCTGTCTGGTTTGGAGAGAAATCTGAGATGATTCTTGTTGACGAGTGGTTGAATGGTCCAAAATACTGTCAAATATTAGAGAAAGGACTACTCCCACTATTTAAAACCAATCAAATTGACAAGAATGTCTACCTTTTTCAAGTCGATGGCGCGTCATGTCATACGAGCAAAGTAGCAAAGGCCTTGAAGGGATCGCAAAGAATCAAGTCATTGCTATGGGTAGCCCAAAATCCTGTCCTGAATCCAATAGAACACATTGACCGAAGATTTCGAAAGTGTGCAACCAAAATCACGCCAGTGCCAACCCTTAAAGAAATATTGCTAAAGGAGTGGCAAAATATGGCTCAGACGATTGGTTGTTGATAACTTGATCAAATCCATGAAAAATCGAATTGAAACTGAAACTAGCAAATTGAGGACCTACCCCATACTCGTTCTAAACACTGTTTCTTTAATTTGAGTTGGGAATATATAATCAGATTTTGAAATCGGATGCAGTTTATTTCTCCGGGTTAAAAACTTTACTTAAGCCACCTTAGAAATTAACATGTGGAGGTTGGCGCGGAATGTTGATTGAGCGAACGTTTTTTTGGAAGGGAATTTTGTGATTTTTGTGGAACAGAGATAGAAAATAGAGACTCCTGCTGATGGGTTGAGGAGTGGATCAGCCTGACGAAAGGAAAGAACTGACACCGAAGCCCTCTTTACTTGCGTTTATACTGAGGTTGGCAAGTGATAAGGGTGTGCTGTGAGTGCGTGTTGGATTATCCTTCGGTTTGGTACAGGGTCTTTGATCTTTTGATCTGCTCATCCAAGTATCTGGTTTCAGAAACGACGTTAGACCTGTCCTTGAGAATGTCAGTGTTAATGTTAATGTGATGATAACTAGGGGATATTTTTCAGAGGAGTTAAGAAAAATTCCCATTTCACTAGTCAAAGGATACCGAAAAAAGAACTGATTAAATCCATGGCTCATTACCGGGATTGAACAGACAACAACATAAAAATGACAAAGAATTTCATGTAAGGAAAAACTTGCAAGCTAGGCACATGAAAGCTTGAAAAGTTTAAAAATGTTAACTGATGTGCTACGATCAGACAAACTGATCCTCTAATGGTACCAGTTCAGGAAAACTCGTCAACACGTATCGATACAGCAAAAAAAGAAGCTGGATGTTGTATTCAGTTAAATATTTGTACCCAAAAGTTTTTACAATAAATCAAATCGAACGGGAAAAAAGAACAACTTCAAAATTAAAATGGCGTCAGTATAAAGAGTGAATTATCCTTTATACGAACACATATGTGTATTAATATTTAAGTACATAGATATATGACTATATCTATAAATATAGATTATAATTTATTTTCTTATCATTTTTTCATTAATTCTTCTTATGAGAAAACAATAAGTATACACACATACACAGACATATAAAGGGTGGATGGAAAATATCCCTATTTAAAGTTTTAATTATTGGTCGATTTTCATAAAAGATGTTTTATTCTGAACAGTATAATGATAGAAATTCTGTACAATTTTAAAACCTCCCTTTTGCACTTTTTTACTCCAATCTGGATGTTGTAGGATAACCGCTTCTGTGAGTATCTACCACATATGCCGTACTCATCCGCTTCGAATGACAATTTCTGATGGTTTTTTGGCATCTACTGAAGCACGAGGTCCATGAAAACTGGGCTACCATCTCTGCACTTGTACCATGGACTGCCACACTTTGTAACGGGAAGCTAGCTGAACATGCGCAAGCGGTGTCAGGCGTTGTGCCAATCTGGGCTACACTTGTCACACTGAAAAGAAAAAAAAACAGAAATTATCAATGAAATTTTACGCATTCATTAACGTGCATTTTTCGACAGGAGAAAAGAATTTATGACACTTCAATTTATATATACCAGGTGGTTAAGGCCATCTTTTAAATTCAGTGAATACTGATTGAACCTGTCTTATGCTTGAACATGATCTGCCAACTCTTAATGCAACTTATTTATTAGTGTGCCCAACAGATTAAGACAATTGTGTGTGTGTGATATTTAAGAAATTAAAACCTAAAATAGAATTTTGCAATGATTTGGGCTTGGCTAAAAACAGCTGCCATATTGTATTTAATTGACTCGTTTTTACTTCTTCTTTTTTTCCTTCCCATCATCCTTCTTCTCTCCGACTTTACACTGCGAATTTATGCTTTCTTATTTTATTCCATCCATCACTCCCTCTCTCTTTATCATTCGTTCTCCCTCCTTCTCTCTCTCTCCTCCCCTTTCTCTCTCAAATTTTCCATTCTCTTTCTCTCCCTCTCTTATTCTCCGTCCTCTCTGTATTTCTCATTCTCCCTCTCTCATTCTCTGTCTTTTCATTTTCCCTCCCTTTTTCTTTCTCTCTCCTTTTTCTTTCTCACCACCATCTTTATCCTCCCTTTCTTTCAATGTCTTATAGCTTAAACCTAGTTTTATCTACAGGCTACTACTCACTCCACCATGCTCATTAAAGCATTTCAAATTTAATTTATATATTTTCATAGTATTATATTAAATATTTCTTTCTCTTAGGCTGTCCGTCATTTCTGACGACGACGCTGTCCATCCATCTCCGTTCGTCTTCTGTGGGCTGCCAAATGAGATAGCAGCTCGATCCGAGAACGACAAGTTCTCTGGCACAGGTGACAGGGTAACATAGCCGATGCGGAATTGGCAGGTTGCAGATGACGCTGGCGTCGCCTCCCCTCGAGCGTACCTCGTCTCTCCTCCTCGAAGTGCGCCACTCCGGCTACGCAGAGAGACAGCCAGCCGATCTGATCCCTCTCGAGGTTCTCCAATTGTGCTGAGTCAATATTGCAGGAGACAAGAGTACGCTTAAGGTAGACCCAAATTCGTTTCTTTGGACTTCCACGTGGGCGGATGCCGGTTTCGAACTCTCCGTAGAATACGATTTTTTGGGAGACGACTGCCCGACATCCGCACAAAATGTCCAACCCAACGTAGAAGACGTTGTCGGACGATGGTCTCGATGCTGACGATCTACGCACGTTGAAGGACCTCAGTGTGGGGGATTTTATCCGTCCAAGTTATGCGCAAGATTCGCTAGCGCATATTAAACATTAACAAATGCCTCTCTTCTAGTAATTTGGCGATAATTCTCTTTAATTGAAAACTTTTATCAGCTTCTCACAAATTTTGTCACATACTTTCTTTTCTCCAAATTTTGAACACTTTAAATAAGGTGCCATTGAAGTCGACACGTTTATTATTATTCTTTCTAAAATTTATAATCAACACAATTCTTTATTCTGAAAAGGCTTAATTAATTTACGGATAAAAACACCAGCCGCGAATTAACAAATTATCTGTAATTTTCGGACATCTTAATACTTTAAAACCTGTCTTGATTTTATTACTAATCTCTTTCCTCTTTCTCTCCCTCCTTATATCAACGATTCTCTTTTTCTTTCTCTTTATCTTAACCTTACTCCTCTCAACTCTTCTCTTTTGCATCCTCTATCTCTCTCTCATTCTCTCACTCCTTCTCTCAACTATACCTTTTTCCTCTCTCTCCTTTTCTCTCAATCCCTCTCTCAACTATACCCTTTTTCTCTCTCTCCCTTTCTCGCAATCCCTCTCTCAACTATACCCTTTTCCTCTCTCTTCCTTTCTCGCAATCCCTCTCTCAACTATACCCTTTTCCTCTCTCTTCCTTTCTCGCAATCCCTCTCAGAACTATACCCTTTTCCTCTCTCTCCCTTTCTCGCAATCCCTCTCTCAGCTATGCCCTTTTCCTCTTTCTCCCTTTCTCGCAATCCCTCTCACAACTATACCCTTTTCCTCTCTCTCCCTTTCTCTCAATCCCTCTCTCAACTATACCCTTTTCCACTCTCTCCTTTTCTCTCAATCCCTCTCTCAACTATACTCTTTTCCTCTCTCTCCTTTTCTCTCAATCTCTCTCAACTATACCCTTTTCCTCTCTCTCCCTTTCTCTCAATCCCTCTCTCAACTATACCCTTTTCCTCTCTCTCCCTTTCTCGCAATCCCTCTCACAACTATACCCTTTTCCTCTCTCTTCCTTTCTCTCAATCCCTCTCTCAACTATTCTTTTTCTCTCTCTTTCTCTCTCTTTCTCTCTCTCTCTCTCTCAGAGATTATTCTTTCTCTCTCCCCCTCTCGCCCTCTCTCTCTACTACTCACTTTCACTTATTTCTTCTGTCAACTATTCCCTTTCCCACTTCCTCTCACTCATTCTCTGAACTCTTCTCTTTTCCCTCTCTCCTTCTCTCACTCCTTCTCTCAATTATTCTCTTTCCCCCTCACTCTCTCTTTCTCTCACTCAATCTCTCAGCTATTCTTTCTTTCTTCTCTCTCTTTCTCTGTCTCAACTATTCTCTTTTTTATTTCTCCCTTTATCTCTCTTAATTGTTCTCTTTCACTCATTCCTTCTTTCAACTATTATCTTTTTCCCTCTCTTTCACTCCTCCTGTCAACTATTCTCTTTTCCCTCCTTCTCTCTCTCTCTCACACTCGTTCTCTCAACTATTCTCTGTTTCTCATTCCTTCACTCTCTCCCACTCCTTTTTTTTCTTCTCACGCCTTCTATCTTTCACTTCTCTCCTCTCTATATCAGCCACTAACTCTTTCATTAACTCTTTCTCTCTCTTACTCCTCCCTCTCTCTCTCATTCCTCTTTCTCTCACTCCTCTCTCTCTCTCTCTCTCTCTCTCTCTCTCTCTCTCTCTCTCATTCCTTCTTTTTCATCATCTCCTTGTCTTTATCTCTTTTTCCTTTAGTAGCTTCATGTTTCTCTCTGACAACTTTTTTAGTTACTTTCACTCAATCCGTGTATAATTTAGTTCACTGTACAGTGAGTATCTACCATATATGTCGTACTCATCCGCTTGGAATGACAATTTCTGATGGTTTTTTGGCATCTACTGAAGCACGAGGTCCATGAAAACTGCGCCATCATCTCTGCACTTGTACCATGGACTGCCATACTTTGTAACGGGAAGCTAGCTGAACATGCGCAAGCGGTGTCAGGCGTTGTGCCAATCTGGGCTACACTTGTCACACGGAAAAAAACCGAAATTATCAATGAAATTTTACTGATTTATTAACGTGCATTTTTCGATAGGAGAAAAGAATTTATGACACTTCCATTTATATATACTAGGTGGTTACGGCCATCTTTTAAATTCAGTGAATACTGATTGGATCTGTCTTATGCTTGAACTTTCTCTGCCATCTCTAAACTTATTTATTAGTGTGCCCAACAGCAACTTTTTATCACTAAAAGAAGACGAGTGCTTATAGGCATGACATAATTCTCAAATTCTGACCTTTGACCAGTTTTATTTGGGGGGTATTTTATTTCATTTTGTTTTCGGGGGTAAAAGTTGGTTGAAATGAACTTTCTAGCATTTCTTCCTTTATGTAAGTACCAATCCCCAAAGAGGCTTTATTAGAAACGTTTCTATGCATGCATGTATAGAAACACGCAGACAGCTTATATGAACACACATATTCATCTAACTAACCATCAAAGCTATTTTATACGCCATATTATTTACTTACACGATTTGTATTGACATTATGGATGCAAACATTCAATTTCATACCAAACATAAAATGAATTCACACGTGAATCTACAAACGTTTTGTGAATGAATCGTTTGCTAAAGAGAACAGTAAACAAATATCTCATTTATTTGACCGAGTAAAAAGAAAAACTTGCATAATATGGAAGATTGTAAGCGTCAATCTCCAGGCAAATGAGTAAAGCTGGATATTAAATTTAGTTTGCTTAAGAAACAATTTCTGTCAATGCCAAAAGTAAATTTATTTCTAAGTGTGCCCAATAAAATACGACTAAATAGATTTTTCTGTGGCATTCTGGTGTCAATCCTTCCAGTCTGCAGATATTCAGCAGTCGCTTCATTCAAGCGGAAATTCTCAAAGATCACTTTCATGATATAATGAAAAAAATATCACCGTTATTCAGAGAACTTAAAACAATTATTTGGTTACTTATTTTAGTGCATCACTTTACTTACAATTATTGCCACGTAACGCAAACAATAGTCAGTTCATTATTTAAATTAGCCGTGAATAATCAAGTGTTATTATTGCCAACTGTTTTTATATTTTTGTAAACTTTTAGCAATAAAGACAACTTTAATAAAAAAATAAAGTTTCACATTGTTCGTTTCATTGTAGATAAAAATGGTAGCAACTTTTTCTCGACTGAATTATTCAATGTCGTTTTCATCATCTTAAGATGAGCATTCGCCACTATAAAAAAACCCCAAAAAACAACAAAAAAAACAAAGAAACGTGTACGAGTGGAGACGCAAAACCCTGGGCATTTTAAGGAAAACATTTTGATGGAAGTGTTGCAGGATATCGTTTTGAAATAGAGGCTTATAGACAAAACACCGGGGAAGGACAAAAAGTTCGATATCTGTATCGTCATAAAAGGAAAAAACGTATAAAATCCATACGATGCCGAAATGTTGGCACTCAAATTTAAATTCACTGTAATTTAAATTCATAATAAATTTGCATTATTTCAAGTTTTTGGCATTCAATTTAATACTTTCAACCCACTTTTATAAGGTTTGAAAAATTCTTATTTAAGTAACTTACTAATCAATTTAATGTTTAGATAACTCATGGAATAAGTAGTGAAGTAATCGTTCTCAGTAACGCGGTTAATCGAAATAAGTGCTGTGGGATTTGTGGCATGAAAGAATCGTAAGAACGAGAAATGTTGCTTGATGTTATGATTGTAAACTATAAACAAGATGTTATTTAAATCGAAAACGTTGGGAGAATGATTGATTAAGATTTGTCTTATTTTATTCGTCCAGAAAATAGATTGTAATAATACGCACCTGCTTATGAAAACGTTTTTGTCGAACAAACATGGATTTCATTAAATTAATTTGTAATGTTAACATTAATTGTTCCGAATGCGTCGATGTTGTTGCCGTTAGCTGTTTGTAGATTGTTTTTACCAAATGGGACTCTCTGAAATTCGGTTGGTAGGATGACGTTCAATTCTCCTCCGATGTCTACCAGGAATTTTTTTTTTTTTTTTTTTTGGTTCTTGTTTTATCCAAAATGTATAAAAAGTGACCATGTCTAGACTGACCAACTGAAGCAGTCACTGTTACTCGCTGGTTTGATCATTTAAATTTTCCTTCGAGACAAATGAACAAGACTGAGTGAATTTTTGTGCTTTTGTAGTGATAAAAATACAGGTGATTAGATTCAGGTTAGAATCGATTTCTGCCGGGGTTCCTGTTATTATACTTCGGACAGAAATCTGGTCGCAATCGACGATCATTTATTATAGAATCAAATTTCGAACATAATCCAGGAAGTTTTAACTAATTTCTTGAGTTTATCTTTTCTTTACTAATCTCGAATGGCGGATACTGTGTGGTTTATGTTGAGATTGGCTGTGTTTTTATCTGTGAACTCAGCCAAATCGAAAAGTTTCTTTTTTTTGTCAGAAAATGATGTATGTTTTTATTGTTTGATGGCGTTTTTCAAACAAAAATTGATGCAAGATACCTTCGTGCATGTGTTTATTAACGAGAAGACTTTACATGTATTGAAGAAGATGTTCTGTCTCCAAGAGACATGCTAACGATTAGTTCTTTTATCCTAAAGGATTCTGATTTACCAACTGTTCGAATCATTGCTTCTTTCAAAAACTTGAATGGTTTGTCTATTGGAGGGTTTTCTAGTAGATCTTCGATTTCTGCAGGTAGAGCACCAACTGCATATGAGTCTATCAATTTTTGCGATGTTATTCGCCTGGCAAAAAAAAAACGCAGCTTGTATTTGATTAAACCAGACTCTTGGTTGGGTTCAGTTGAAATGGAGAGGTGTATCATCAAGGCATTTTGAGATCCAGGTGCCATTACAGCTACTGAATCTGTAGATTTTGAGTGTAGATAAAAATGTGAAATATCGGCTGGTTTCGAATATTTATATTTTGTGTTTGAAATAATCGAATATTTACAAATGTGTTTGATATCTGACAAGGAATTTGTTCAGAACACAGAGGTTGGTCAGATGTTGCGTTCGAAAATTGTAATATTCGTAGCGGTCATTTGTAGATAACTGGATTTGTATCTTTACATTTGTAAGTGTTCTATGTCGATAGGTCCCCAATCATTTGTAGAGGAATATGAGTGGATAAAACGAACAAATAAACTATCTTCAACAAGACACTACAAATTTTAATTAATTTTATTATTAAGTATTAATTTTCTTTCAAATTAAAGGAAATGAATTACAAAGATTCTTTGAAAAACAATTTCACACGAAGTATTTTGCTATCGTCTTTACGATGCAACATAATTATCTGCGTTAGTAAGATAGAAGTAACAGAATGCGTCTACATATGAGGATGTGTGCAGAGTATTTACGTTGGTTTAAGTATGCGTGTAATTTTATAGTAGCAGCAGGCCAGCAGATTGCAGTTAGCTCAGATTTGAAAGAGCCCCTTAAAAACCACTGACATTATCCTTAACTCTGTGTACACAAATAATTCTATTCCACTCCTATCCATCAAACCAAATAACCTCAAAAAATTATTATATGCCTGCAGAACCAAAGTTCCCTTCTGCGACCATAATTAAAACATCTACACCATTCTCCAATTACTACACGTCCCACGTAGAAAATATGATATTTAAACAGATCAATAAACCCAAAATATATGTCCGCTACGTAGACGATATTTTTATTTTAGCGAAAAACACACAAGGAATAGATAATCTCAAAGCCACATTTGAAAAAAAAACTCTGTCCTTAACTTTACTTACTAGATAAGTAAAAAAGATAAACTCCCATTCTTACACGTTCCCGTAGAATACAGTAACAATATTTTCACCACTTCATTGTATAAAAAACCGACGAGCAGAAACTCTTGCCACCTTGATTTAAAGAGTGAATGCCCACTTAGATACAAAATAGCAGTGATTTCCCAAAGAGAGCACACGAGAATTCATCCTCTCGTCTACTTTTCCTTAAAGAACTCAACAATTCAACAATACAAAACAGACATTTTTCTAACCATCTCATCGACGACCAGATTAGACTATTTCTTTCCAAAGTAAATAATAACGATACTGAACACTTAGATAAAAACAATAACATAAATATCAAAAGCCAAATGAACGTCTCCTATAAGCAAAATGAATAATTACTAAGAAATGTCATAAAGAAATACACCACCCCAGTTGACCTGATAAAAATTAAATTAACAATCTATTACAAAAAATTAAAAACACCTAAGCTTATACTCAAAAGTAAAAACACACCTGCAAAATCAAAACTACAAAAACATTATTTACAAGTTCAAATGACCATTAAGTAACTGTGTTCCTGTTCAAACCCAAATCATAAATAACTAGATCAATCACACGACTAGATGCCTATCCAAACGACTTACGTTAAACCTATCCGACCACGTATCCATTAGAACTCATTTATACATAAACACAAACCCACCCGACTCCATCCATAACATACTGGTAAAAAATGCAAGCATAATAAACTCATCCACGTTTAAAAAAGCTTAAAGATAATGGGAGGCCTAATAATAAAAAAGAAAAAGCCAACACCCAATAACATTAACTACGAACACGGCCAAAATATGCTGACCGTGTTTGGAAATTAAAACTATAACTCTAGATACATACACACTACCGATACATACAGTTAAAAAGTAAAAATAAAATCATCCATGACAATAGCTAAAAGTAGAGGCGAAAGTGCTCAGAAATGCAGAATATTTGGGCAGTTTTTACACATTTTGTGTCCAGAAAAGAAAACACTTGTA